TTAATACCCTAAATAAACTATGGTATTTCTTTAGACAAAGACATGATTAAAGATAGTGGCGTAAAAAAGCCATAGCAAGTAAACTTTTCATTATGGTATGTGGATGGTTGGATCCAATACATACACAATAAACCAATGTAGTTTAAATTACTAAAGGAAATAATAAAATAAATGCATGTAGGGAAACACATTTTGTATTTTGTTTCTAATTATTCTGATTATTCCTATTAAATATTTATTTATGTAAATATACTTGTAATTGTATTGCTAGTTGTTTTATGTCATATATTTAGGACCAGGAGTGGGTTCTCAGTGACCAGGGGGCTTGATGCATAAATCTGCATTATATTGATTGATCATTTATTTCGAACACTTAATAAAAAGCAAATATAAGTAAATTAATAAAGTCATACAAAACAAAACAAAAAAAGAAGAAAAAAAAAAAACATATGTACATCCCATCATGTTCGAAAATATATGAATCAATTTCCAAAGTTCGCCATCTTTGTTGCCATCTTTGTTTCATAGATACATTTCTCACTGTTAAGATTAAGTTTGAAAAGCGCTTTTCAAAACCAATCTTTTGTGTCATTTTGGATTTTTTTTTCTTTTTCTTTTTTTTGTCTCAGCTAAATTCGTTCTATATTGTTCTAACTGCTCACCACTACAGAATACAGAGATTTAACCATTGGGATTTGAGTTAAGATAGATGAAAGCATACATTCTGTTACCAGCATTGTGACTTTTATCTAGTTATTCTTCCTTGCTCATAGCATGCTTGCTTTTTTAAAATTAGACAAGAGGAACTGAAGAGAAACCTTCAGAGATTGAACAGACAAAGTTAATCAGAAGAAAACAAAGTGATATACATTGAGATTGAGATACATTTGCTCCTTATTCTCCGCCTTCCCTTTCACCAACTCTCCCTGAAGCAAATCTTTGAGTCTCCCCCTGGACTTCAATTGTCAGATATGAGAGGAGAAAAACTTGGAGGTGGGATGTTTTTGTGTGTCTGTGTGTGAACATTTGTGTGGTGATGGGTGTGTGTGTGATTCTGTTGGGGGTAAATGGAGGGAGAGAAGAGGAGAGAGAACAGGTGACAGGCACTGACAGAAAGGACGAATACTCTGTAAGGTTCAGTGCATAGAAAGAGGGCTATGGAGATGGCACAAAGCTATTTCCTTTCAGACAAAAATGTTGGGGAAAAAAGGGAAGCTGTCATTTTTACCTGGTATTGATTCTTTCTTTTTCTTACAAATATGCAGTTGTTGTTGTTTTTGTCTCTGTGAAGTTTTGTGCAATAAATAGAAAAATTATTATATTTTGTATATCATGGCTTATGATACGTTGCGTTTGACATTGCAAGTTGAAATGTCCAACTTCCAAATCATAAAGTTTTAACTGGAATTGTTGGATGGTTGACAGGATGGTAGACAATTTCTACATCCAAGATGTATGCAACACATGTCAACGGTACTAAAGTTCCTTCTTTGACTCTTTTTTAGTAGCTCTTTATTATTTATGTACTGTTGTGTTTTATTACTATTTAACTTATTTACCTCAGATTATGTCTCTCCAGTTTTTTTTTTTCTTTCAAGTTCTGAGAATATTGATCTAAGGGATTCCTGCCTCCCTTAGTTTCCAAGGTGAATAATTTTTTTCTCAGTCTTCTCCTATCTTTATTATAAACAATTTGAGTGCATCCACCTGTTTCCACTTAATGTCTGTAATAAAATATTTTTTTGAGGCCTTGACATTCTGTGCTATATCTTGAAATAAAGTGGTAGATGCCATCAGTTCAGGCTGCAAACAGAGTGTATCTATGCAAATAAAAAGAAACACTATTTGTAACCCCTTTTTTGATACAGTATTTTCCAATCAATTGTAGGGTTACCGTTCACTGCAAATCGCAATATACAAAGCAGCAACACACATAAAAATTTTGTACCACAAAGTTATTAAATGATTAACCATAATGTCTTTTGCAACTTTGTAGTCTTTGGTTAACAAATTACTAGGGCTATGAAAAGGGTTGTTGAGCTTGTGAAGTTAAAAGAAGATAGATCTTTTTTTTCTCAAAGCACAGTTCTGATTTAGCCTAACAAAGGTGGATGTTTAATAAATACAGTATATTTAATTGCACCCTGATAAGCGGAGCAAGTTTAACCTGTGGAATAAGTCATAAACCAATTTATTGAGGGAAACTGGATTGTATAATCTGAAACAGAAAGGAAAGCATGTTATGGCCTGCAGGTTCTGAGTGACATAATACATTTTCTCCATGATCGAGAAGGATTATTTTGCTTTTGCTTATACCATTGGATGTGTATTTGGTGTGAACAATGTTTTTATGATATTTATTTATACATATTTGTCATGGTAGTGGCAGAGAAAATTAAATGATTAGGGAAACAAGTATTTTACAAAAACCTGTCACGTCATGGTTTAACTGGTAAAGAAGGAAAGTATCCCACATTGCCAGTGCTACTAATAACAGCCTGATTTCTTTGGTTTTTACATGTGAAGAGGGAATAGTAGTTTAGGAACAACAGTGAAATGTATAATGGCTAAATCCAAGTTAAACATGTTGGAAATCTATTTTAAAATGTGTATGTGGGTGGGAAAAGACCAATCAATATCTATTGTGATTTTTGTTTTTAAATGATCTAACACAAGCCACTGGCAAATGTGAAATACCAAGCATTTTAAGTGAAAAGCAGCCTCTGCTGTATCTGATGAAGAGACCAGCATCGTATTGATCCCCTTTCATAATGTTAAATACTGCTTTGATTTCCATCTCTGTTACCATGCTGTCTTCAAACTGCTAGCTTTGGTCCTGCTCTCTTTACTGATGTCTGAATCAACCCACCTATGTCATTACAGCACCTTAGCATAGATGACATGCACTCTGCTAAGACACAAGGCTGTCAAGCCCACACACACCTTCATCCTATATTTAGCTTGCCACATCAGCCTTGTTCTTGAGATTGTGGCTCTAACCCTGTTGTCTTTGGGATATCAAACAGGTTTTTTCTACACCTTCTCAGTAGCTCTCTCTGGACTAGAACTCCCTTGTCACCTTTTCTATTTCAGCTGAAATATCCTCTATAGGCCTTGTTGGAAACAGAGAAACATTTAAGGTCTCTCAAACAGGGCAGCATTGCTGCTCAGTCCCCTGCCATGTAACCACGTCTTCCTTCACAGTGAGACAAGAAGGGCACATTCCCTTTCTATCTGAGTCTCCCTCAATGACCTGCATTCTAAAATTGCCATGCATTAGCTCCTGTCTATTCAGACAGCAGTGTAGGTGCTGGTGGGAATTTTTCCACCTTACTCACAAAGACCACAGTAGTTTGCAAAGTACAGTATTATGCTAACAATACTGACTCTTTAAAACTGCACAGACTTCTTGCAGGATGGATATGATGCAGCTAATAATTGTGATCAAATGTGACCAACAAAAATGTTTGATCAAGACAAAATTAATAAAAAATGCCAAAAATGGCCTAATGATATTTTATTCTTAGAAGTAGCTGGAGTCAGCTTAACGCAGATGTAATTTAACTGCTCCTTAAGTATTATTTAGAGCTCTTTAGAGAGGTGTTTTTTCATGGTGTTATTTTTTATTTTTAAGCAAAGGTTTACTGGAAGAAAATGGTGGGGTAGGAAAAACCTTTACAAATGATTTATAAAACTTGGACTACAGCTGGAGTCACTGCTTCAAGATCCATAACTAGGACTTGGAGAGTAATGTCATCCGCTGCTGTTGAAGTGAACAAAGTTTGTTTTAATTCTTATACTAAATTATTTCCCTATAAAATCAGTTCTGAAGAGATCCAGTTCACATTTCAAGATCTTTATGGCACTATGTATACAATAAATATATATATATATATATATATATATATATATATATATATATATATATATATATATATATATATATATATATATATATATATATATATGTATGTATGTATATATAGTATATATATAAATATATAATAAAACAAACCCTAATATTCTTCTATATACTGTATTTTCTAAACAAATTTACCAAAGCTGCCTTTTGCAGCAATGGGTACTTTTTTTTTTTTTTTTTTTTTTTTGCTCAGTGGCTCTTTACTTTTTCCAAACATCTTCCCTTCAAAACTGAAGTTTTTTATTTTTATATATCTTTTTTAAATGAACTCTGTTTGCCCTTTGAGCAGATATCTGTCTGTATTTTTTATTCATGTTCAAATGAAGAACAGTTAGTGCAGGGTTACTTTTAAAAACAGCTTAGGATTTCTGACATGTGTCCCAGGTGAATTTGTTGACTGTCGTCATAAACTGGCCTTATATAAATGAACCAAATTGGTTTTGATTTTAAGAAATAAACATAGTGCTGCATGCAGACGGAGACTCTGCATTGAGCTTTTGACATTTTAGAACTTCTCAGGTCTGGGTCAGCTCCATGTTATGGTTTTATTCTTTAAAGGAGGAAACATTTTGCCGCCTGCGTGTGTGTGCTGTTGTTGAGGTCACAGAAATGTGAATGTTTCTTGATAAGCTTTTATCTAGAGAAAGCCAAGCCTCTGCAGACAGGAGTCCTCCCTCAGGTTTTCATATGCTGAGTATTGATCACAGCACATATGACCTTGTGCTAAACATCTTCCGTTATACTGACTGACATTGGTGCAGTATAAACAAAATATTTGAATATTTAAGCTTTAGGATTACATATAGGATGAGGACTGGTTTTATATGTTTCTGCTTTCATTTCATTTTTCATAATTTTTGTTTTCAGGGGCTTTCTAAAAGGCCCAAACCTATTTTTGAGTTTCAAAAGAAATCCTTTTTGTTATTTGTTTTTGTTTGGGGGGGTGGGGGCTTCTGATAAAATGATTCTTTATCTTGCTTTAAGAGTTATGACATTTACATTGAAGCTTTAATAGTGTGTTGCATTTGTTAATACAAAAAAAAGAGAAAAACTCAACCTTTTTTTTACTGTGTTTTAGCCCAGGAGCAGAACTTTGGAGATCAGTTCCTGCATGTGTTCCTTGAAGATGGAAGCCCCATTGCTCAGCTTGGCTGTGGTGACACTAATATTTTATATGCAGCTGCTGGCAAGAGAATCAATAAAAACAGATGGATGCCAATCCTTATACGGTAGGATTTTTCCATTTCTGGATGTTTGAATACTTCTTATCTTGTATGTTATTGTTACTGTAACTCTAACCCCAATGTTATTATTTAGCCTGTATGATTACATAACATAAAATAAACACAACACCAACTTTACGTGAATAGATAGCAAACCAAAATTCAGACATCTGGTAACCTTATCAGTTACAACAGTTTCAACACTTGGCTAATAGAACAGATGATAACTGACGTATAATTTTTTCATGTTTCCATATGACTAATGTTATGGGGGCTACGATGTGAAGTTCACAGTGCTACACCATAATAACCCTGTGCTGCAAGCTGGATTGTCACAAGATCCATGTTTTCAGTCTCAACAACAAATCACGCAACACAACACAACACAACAAATCCATCTCAAAAGACTCTGGCTAATATGTCTATCACGTAACAACCAGTGAGCCAGCGGTGTTTTCTGGGGCGGGACATGTACTGTAGGCATGACGACAGTCAGAAGGAACTTGCTGGGGAATTACAAACGTGGCTATGCTGGAAGACTCACCTGTCGATACTCCAACTGACCTGGTTTTAGCTAAAATATTTTCTCGTTTTTGAAGAAGGAGCAGAGATCCTACTTCAGACGGAACAAGATGTCTGTGCTTTTTTTCCGACAGGATTTGGAAAAAGTTTGATTTGTCAGCTTTCTCTACTAGTTGTGAAAAACACTTAAGAAGCTGCAGACAAATCCTATTGTGATATTGTGGTCGATTGGCTGAAAGCGTATTATGGAAGGCGGGTACTAGCTGGCACATCACCCAATCAGCTCAAAGTATTGTACTAAACATCCCTCCTTTTTCTGAACAGACTGAAACGGCAGCCATCCCATACTGATGACATAGAATTCAACTCAGTTTTAGAAATATCAGTCTGGCGGCTACCAGGTTAACACCATATATGAATGGGTCTTATTACTATTGACTGTTTCATTTTTGGATTTTAACAGTCAATTGGCCAGATCTTCAAAGAATCCAAATAACTCTCTGTACAACTACTGTTGTGCAATGGATAAAACCTTGATTGTGTGCTACTGGAAACTCGAGTGTGGCTGTAAAATAAAGATGTTCACAAGTTCTGCAATTGAGTTTGAGATAAAATTTATTTTTAAAAATTATTTTTATGATTATTATTTATTGTGATGTTTACATGCTTTTCTCAAAGTGCTACCCACCAAAGTAAAAGAAACAAAAATATGAAAATACCAAGTTGAATTTCAAAAGATCAAGTAATAGATTGATATAAATATCAACCATAAATCCCGGAAAGCTGACTTTGTCAGCTCCTACCCATGGCTTACCAGGGTTTTATTTATATAAGCTTGTATGAGCTTTTTATTTTTGTCTTGTTACCATGCTTGCTGTAGTATTTTTCTTTTATTTCTATTTAAGCAAAACGCATTTAAATGAACCTATTCATTTAGATTATCTTAAGAACACTCTTGGCTCAAAAACAGCTGGCTATAGGTTGATCTTAATCTACATTTATTTACAGTTCTTTCACATCTCTTCCAAATAAGTCCGATAAGCAATGCTTCTTCCCTGCACAACTGATCCTTCGTCTCTATGGTGCATGCATCAGTTTATGGCTCATCACTTTGGGGCAGAGGAAGCCATTGGGGGAAATCACTGCTGCAGAGCTCCAGCTCTATTTATTCTTGATATGTTCAGCACTTTTGATTCATATGTAAAATAGTGGTATTCGTGTGAGCACCAAATACCTACTTTCCTTATCTTTGAGTTGACGACACTGAATGCAGCCTCTGTAACTTGCAGGTGTCAGCAACTGTGCAATGTTGGGCAGCAGTTGCATTTAAACATACATAATCCAAGCTTTTTTTACACCGCACAGGACACCAGAAAGAGAAAACATATACCTTTCCATTTTAAAGAATTTCTGTTAAAACTTTTTTTTTTACAACAAACTCTGTGTTACTCTGATGTTGGACTATAAGTAAGAGCAGATAAGTAGAACACCACTTTGCAATATTTAATGTGGTAAAATGGAAAAAAAAAGTTTGTTTTGTATATGTATTTGTGTATGTAAATGTTTGGCAATGATATGACACATTCTGATTACTTTTTTTTCTTTACTAAGAGCATATTACATATTTATTTAAAGAAGAAGAAAATAAAGTAGCTATCAAATTGGGAGGAATTCTGTTTTTTTTTTTTTCTAGCAGGATTTGTATTTTGTTCCTTCTCAACAGTCTTAAAATACTCCTCACTGTTAATCATCCACAGCACAGGTGATAAAAGACATTCTGAATAATTAATTTAGAATATAAAGACATGTTGTGACTCTAAACTTAATTGTGAAAGAACTTGGAAAAGAGGCTGCAGTATGAATAAACTGTATTGGCGAAAAAAACATTAAAGCCGGAATGTGATGCATTCTCAGTTTCTGTTCATTAAATCTTTAATCTGCATATAAATATAGGGCTTTTATTGCATGAAAGTAGAAAGTGATGAGAGCTTTATGCTAAAATTATATGAATAGGAAATTCAGTTTATAAAGATAATGCTGTAAAGGTGCCAGAGAAAATCAACTACTCAACTTTCTTTCAAAGTGATTTTTTCCAAATAAAGATCTTACAACCACAAACTAAGGTGGATTTTGTTGGGATTTTTATAAAATTGGCTAAATTGAGATAAATAACTATGAAGTAAAAGGTAAATATCTATAATTTTAAATTCTTAAGTCGCAAAAAATGAGAGTTATAGTTGAAGTGCCTTCTAAAAATATGCCACAAGCAATGCAAAGAATGGAGCAAATACTGGAAAAAAGTTCTCTGGTTGAATGGTTTCAGGATTACTCTTTATCCAAAATGCTGTGTGAAAAGAAAAAAAAACGGAAACAAACAGAAATAACCTGTCCCCATGTAACATATGGTGTATGTAGCATAATGCTGTGAAGATGCTTTTCTCTTGTAGGAAGGTTCTTTAGACTTGATGGCAGAAGGATAAAGCCTAATACAGAACTTAAATTGTAGACTGAAATTGGAGCAAGAGTAGTAGTCATTCAAAATGTCCTCACTTTCCTTGATGGGCCCTTGGCTGGTCACCTACAATTTCTTTTTAAACTTCAATCTTCGTACTGAAATATTCTTTCTGTCATGATTTGTGGACAGATCTAAAGAGACAGATGTAAAGAAAAGAATCATCTCCTGGTCAGAACATGTAATTTAGTGAAAGGGAGAAGCCAGAGTAAAAAAATATGCATGTCCAGGAGAAGGAGGGGGGCACCCCAGTGGCTGGAGGTTGGAGGGGATATTGCTGGGAGTTTTATATATATATATATAAATTAGTGCTGTCAATCGATTAAATTTTTTTAATCGCGATTAATCGCATCAATGCCTAAGTTAACTCGCGATTAATCGCATTTTAATCGCACATTTTTTTCCTGATTGAAAATCATTTAAATACTCTCGATGACATACAAAAAAATACATACAGGCTAGGTTTGTGCCAATGTTCTTTTTTTTAAATGAAAACAGGTCACAGACAGTGATTTATGCCATAGAAACATATGGCAAGAAGATGGGGAGGCATGTAGCAAAAAATAACAAATATGCAGCCAAAAAAAAGGCCCTAAAAACAGGCTGATGTAAAAGACAGTCTTTACAGTTAATACAGTCTTTTGAACAAAGACAAGCATTTTACCCTACTGCTATAAAATGTAGTACAGTTAACATTAGATGTTAATTAACCAAGATAATAATGAACAATTTTCAATCAATACATCAAAAGCAATAGACCGACATCACTAGATGGAGGTAGTCTATGCTCTAGAAAGTTACTTTTCAGCCTCTTAACAAAAATGAGAACACACACACCCACACACACACCCACACACACACGATACTGACCTGTGGCGTACACAGACGGCAAGAGTTCCGTAGCAGATTCCATTTCACCTCAGTAATCTGTTTTCTCAGCGTATTTCAGGTTGCTACTAGTTACCAGACACTCAACTTGTTTGTTGGTGGTGGGGCTTAAAGAAAAGGCACTAGCGTCACCCAGTGTATGAGCGTCTTTTTTCCTTGAGGAGCTCCGCTCTCGAAGCCTATGAGAAATGCATACACTGGGGGAAAATAGCCCCGCCTTCCCGCAGGCTGCAGCGGGATGTACTTGGAAAATTGTACCATAAAACCACATAGCGTTAATCTCACGTTAAAAAAATTATCGCCGTTAAAATGGCCTCGCGTTAACGCGTTAATAACGCGATAATTTTGACAGCACTAATATAAATATATATATATATATAAAACTTCAGGTCTGAGCCCTTCATGACACCAAGATTTTGTCCATAATCAAAGTTTTCTAGCTGCAGTAGCTGAACCTGTGAAACAACAGAATTTTTTTTTTAAGCCCATCCCCTAACATATGCAAATCAATATGACCCACTCATTAAACACCTTGGTCTCAGGTTTTTAAAAAATATGAGCATTCCAACTGGTTACTCCCTTGCACAAATGGAAAGCACACTTGGATAGGTGTTGAAACTTTTTTCAGAAAAACTAAGTGAAAGCCTGCTTACATAACAATTTAAGTCTATTTTCTGGTTTTCATGACCTGAATCATTGCACAGGTAATGAATACCTACATTAATGTAAAATGTAAAAACTTCCCAGCAAAAGCTATCTAATTTTATTTGCTGGGATGAAAATATTAATATAATGTAAACAATCATAATTTAGATAAATTGACTGCACTGAGTTTTGCCTCTCAAAATATCCAGGCTTTGAAATAAAAAGGCAATGGAAAAGTGGCTATAGGTACTTGCCAGAAAGGCCAAGTCAGAGTCCTCACTTACATTTTACAAAATTAAAGGAAATACCTAATATGAGCTGTTGTTAGACTGAACCCTTATTAAGCTTGAGCTAATTTGCAAAAATTGATGAGCATTATTTTCAGTATTTTGATTTTAAACTGGTAGAGGCACATTATAAACAACGTATTTAATAAAAA